GCCGGGTTTGAACCCACCATCCTTGGTAGATGGGGCTGGTGCCATATTCACTGAGCCACAGGTGCTGGCCCAATTTTTAAATTTTTAATAGGAAAATACACATACAGGGCACAAAATGAAAAAGGTACAAAAGGATGTGTGCTGAAAAACAACAATTAATGTTTAGATTAATTAATATCTTGATTGATGAATATCTGCTTAATAGTCCAATATAACATTCTGCTAATCAGTATTAGAATAGTAGATGTTACCACATATTGAACTTTAAATATAGAAAACTGTATGATAGGCTTGGTGCCCATAGCACAGTGGTATGGCGCTGGCCACATACACCCAGGCTGGTGGGTTTGAACCCGGCCTGGGCCAGCTAAACAACAATGACAACTGCAACAAAAAATAAAAAATAGCCAGTGTTGTGGCGGGCTCCTATAGTCCAGGCTATGTGGGTGGCTGAGGCAAGAGAATCACTTGAGCCCAAGAGTTTGAGGTTGCTGTGAGCTGTGACGCCATGGCACGCTACCCAGGGTGACATAGTGAGACTCTGTCTCAAAAAAAAAAAAAAGAAAACTGTATGATATTGATTTAATATTTATATCTGTGCTTTTCATTACTTCAGTCAATGCACTGGGCTGTCAAAGGTAAAAAAGACCTGATGCTGGAGGAACCTGACCAGACCCCGACTAACAAGACTGAAATTGAGGAACAGAATAAACAAAGTGAAATAAAGAAAGAGGAGTTGACTTCAACCACAGAGAAAATGGAACAAAAAGAATCTGAGCCCCTGGAGAAGTCAGTCTCCCCCCCAAATCCAGATTCTTCAAGTAAGTCATGTCCTTTAACTTTGTAGAATGGAAAAGGTCTGAAATTAAAGATCTTGGCTTATGTCATATTTTTTCCAATGCCAAATTTAAGGACTGGTTTAAGGTCTTAAAAGGAACTTACTTAGCATTGACATAGATAGTAGAAGGTAAATACTTTCCTTGCAAGGGAACCTTAAGATAATTCTCAGGATGTCTTCTGTTTTACTGAAATAATGCCAGCTGACATGCATTGCATGTTTACTGTGTCTGGGAACATTCTTTACACATATGACTACATTTGTTGTCTCATGTAATATTAATTTTATATTAATTCCTTTAATCCTCACCACAAGTTGGTGAGGTTGGTATCAATATTATTCTCATTTTATATATGAGAAAACTGAAGCCTAGGGTGGTTGAGTAATTGGCTCAAGGCCAGACAGCTTGTATATGGCAGGGAAGGGAAGGGATCTGAACCAAGACAGTTTGGCATCAAAATCTGGTTTGGCACCCATAGCTCAGTGGTTAGGATGCCAGCCACATACACCAGCACTGGGGGGTTTGAATGCAGCCTGGGCCTGCTAAAAACAACAGTGACAACAACAACAAATAGCCAGGCATTGTGGTGGGCACCTGTAGTCTCAGCTACTTGGGAGGCTGAGGCAAGAGAATTGCTTAAGTCCAAGAGTTTGAGGTTGCTGTGAGCTGTGATGCCACAGCACTCTACTGGGGGAAGACATAGTGAGACTCTATTTAAAAAAAAAAAAAATCTATGTTTCAAGGCATTGCACTATCCTGAGATGGCATCTCATCTGTGAGTGGCTCTGTGAATATTACGAATCATTGAAGCGGGGTAATATAAAATTTTGTTCAACTCCTGGCTCCTAAGCTACACTACTTGAGTTCAGATCTTAGCTACTTACTTGACTTCTCTAGACTTCAGTTTCCTCATATAAAATAGGGATTATAATAGTACCTCCTCAGCTGGGTACAGTGGTCCCAGCTACTCGGGTGGGGGGCTAAGGTGGGAGGATTATTTGAGGCTAGGAGTTCAAAGCTATAGTTTGCTATGAACATGCCTATGAATAGCTACTATGCTCTAGCCTGGGCAACACAGTGAGACTCTGTCTCTAAACAAAAAGTGCCTTCTCATAAAGTTATCATGAAGATTATAAGAGGAGATCAATCCAAAATGCTCAGCCCAGCAATTTGCCTATAGCGGGCCCTGGGTAAATGTTAGCTGTTACTATCATTTCTTTGACCCTCTATCCTAGCTATTCAACTGTGTTTAACTAGTTAAGGTGTGTAATATCATACGTGTACATATATACAGACATTGTAACTGTCCTTTAAATTCTTATTTGTTGATTCTCAGGGATGTGATAATAGCATCCCATAAGGGTTTAGCCTTTAAGCAAAAAGTTCCTGAATATCCTTGAACACTTTTATAAAAAAGAAGATAATTAGATAGCTTGTGGTGGATCATAGTCTTTCTAGAAATAGGCAATTAATTAATCAATTAATTAATTTATCTTTGAGACAGAATCTCAAAATCTTGGCCTCGGGCTGAGCACCTGTAGCTCAAGTGGCTAAGGGGCCAGCCACATACAACAGAGCTGGTGGGTTCCAATCCAGCCTGGGCCTGCCAAACAACGACAACTACAACCAAAAAATAGCTGGGCATTGTGGCGGGTGCCTGTAGTCCCAGCTGCTTGGGGGGTCGAGGCAAGAGAATTGCTTAAGCCAGGAGTTGGAGGTTGCTGTGAGCTGTGATGCCATGGCATTCTACCCAGGGTGACAGCTTGAGTCTCTGTCTCAAAAAAAATCTTGGCCTCAGTGATCCTCCTGCCTTGGCCTCCCAAAGTGCTTGGATTATAGGCACAAGCCACTGCACCCAGCCTGATTTATTTTTTATTGAGACAAAACATATGTATGTAATTTACCATATTTATCATTAAAAAAATGAAAAAAATTTTTGAGACAGGATCTTGCTCTGTTGTCCAGGCTGGTGTGCAGTGATGCAATCCTAGCTCATTCATTGCAACCTCAGACTCCTGGGCTCAAGCAATCCTCCTGCTTGGCCTCCTAAAGTGCTAGGACTATAGGTATGGACACTGTGCCTGGCCCACTTTTACTATTTTTAACTGTGCAGTTTGGTGCAATAAATGGTCAAAATATTAGCATCTACCTTGTAAGATTTTTTGAGGAGTAAATAACTTAATACACCTAAACTGTTTAGACCAGTGCCAGGTACATGGTAAGCAGTAAGCACTTTTTTTAGTGTTAGTTTTTATTATTATAGAACTATTTCTTCTTCTTTTTTTTTGAGACAGAGTCTCACTTTGTCACCCTTGGTAGAGTGCGGTGGTGTCATAGCTCACAGCAACCTCAAACTCTTGGGGTCACTCTTTCTCAGGCTACTCTGGAACTTGTGAGTTTAAGCAATCCACCCACCTCCACCTCCCAGAATGCTAGGATTACGGGCGTGAGCCACCGTGCCCCACCTACTATGGGACTTCTTAGAGTACTATTTGGTACCTGTGGTGATCAATTTACTGAGGTTCTACTGCAGTATGTCAAAGTTAAATAAAAATACAGAGATGTGGCTCAGCATGGTGGCTCACAACTGTAATTCTAGCACTCTGGGAGGCGGAGGTGGGAGGATTGCTTGAGATTAGGAGTTTGAAACCAGACTGAGCAAAAGCAAGACCCCTTCTCTACTAAAATTAGAAAAATTAGCTGGACATTTAGGTGGGTGGCTGTGGTCCCAGCTACTCAGGAGGCTGAGGCAGGAGGATTGGTTGAGCCCAGGAGTTTGAGGTTGCTGTGAGCTATGATGACACCTCAGCACTCTAGCCTAGGGCAGCAGAGTAAGACTCTCGTCTCAAGAAAAGAAATATATATACATGGAGAGATACATAGATAGATAGATAGACATGAATCTCTAGGCAAACTTTTTATTTGGGAAAACATATAGAAACAGAATTGTAGTTTGGGGTAAACACAGACTGGGGTGGTCTTTAGTATGTCCAAAGAACAAAGAGACGGTTGGGGTAGAATGAAAAGCGCTATGTATTGTTTTAAAAGAAAACTTACTGGCACTAGTGAAGTTTTTGGGAGCTGGCAAGCTCTGATTGGGTAAAGCTAGTGTTAGAGGCACAGCAGTTCCTGTTGGTTTCAGCAGCTGCTAGGTGAAACTCATCAAAGGTTGTAACCGTCTTTGGCAGCTGGCTTGAGATGTGATCCCCGGGCAGGTGCTTGTGTCCTGAGTGCTTTGCTTTCCCTCCCCAGGGTTTCTGGAATTCTAATCTAGTTCATTATGACAAGATGACTCCAATTAATATAATCAATTTTCACACAAAATTTACACACAGCAAATGGTGATGCCAGTTTTGATGTCCTCACATTACGAAGTATGTGCTCTTACTGTGGTTTAAGAATGAAGTAGGGGGGATATGAGGATGGAGGATCATTCTTCTGAGAGGCTGTTGCTGGAGAATTATGAAATTCTGCCACAGGCTGCATTCACCAGGATTTTCTTGATGCTGTTCAAGAGATTATTGGCTCTTCTTAGTAGTGCCTTCAAGCTGGAGTTTGATGGATCAAAGTGCAGTTGCATGATAATTCATAATTTCCTTTTACTGCAGTGTAAACTTATACAACATCCAAAATTTAAGAAATGCTATTCACGCAACCTTTTCAAGCCTCCAGTGGCTCCTTCTATGTTCCTTTTTAGTATATGTGTTAATTTCCTCAAGCGGTGACTTCATACTCACTTTGGAGTTCCCCTGGTGGTGTCTTTTCTGTGATGAGTAGCCACTAAATAGTCCCTGTAACATTCTGACTCTTCATTGCAACCATAAAATACGGAGCATAGCATCTGAAAAACTGATGTGCAAGACCAGCTCACTTTTGCTTTCTTTCTGTTTAAATAGACACTAAATATGACTTCTGATAGATACAATTCTAGAATCAAATAGTTTTGTGTAACATCGTGGAGTTAAAGAAGAAATCAAATGTAGCAGATGCTGTTGGTGTGCTGCCATAGCCCTTGGGCACCTGTCTTCCCAGGCCTTGCCAACTCTATGTATGGCCTCTGCCACAGACATCACGACTGCCAGAGGGCTTTCGCTGGTAATGGAGCTAGCTTGGCAGCCGACGAGCAGGCTGTATGTGCCAGGGAATAAACACCCCTGGGATGCTGCCATAAGACAATAATGAATGGGAGTGGGAGGCTAAGTTCCCTAGCCCCTTCACCTATACTAAAATACATAGTATAACTTTAAGGGATTTTTGTATTGTCTCCCAGGGATCCTGGGTGGGGGGTGGGGAGAGTCAAGCACCAGTCACCCATGATATAGTAACTTGTCTGATGGTGTACCTTTGTAGATTTGGTTCTCTCTCCTGTTCCCCTCCCAGGGCCTCCTGGGATCACCTCCCAAATTAGCCACTTTGCTTCACCTTCTTGTCTGGGTATCCCTTTCTAGGGAAACCTCACCTGGAAACTACATCTTTTTAAAACTCTAAAAATACATTTCCTGTAGAAATGTGAAAAAATATGGTCACAATGTGTTAAAGAAGTGTCTATTAATAATATCTATTATTTGATATACTTTCATTTATGTTAGTATACCTAAAACTAATAGGATCATGCTGTACATATTTTGTGAGTGAGATTTGATTTTGAGTCATCAGAAACAATTTCCTTTTTTTTTTTGAGACAGAGTCTCGCTTTCTCACTTCTGGTAGAGTGCCATGGTGTCTTAGCTCACAGCAACCTCAGACTCTTGGGCTCAAGAGATTCTTTTGCCTCAACCTCCCTAGTAGATGGGACTACAGGTGCCCACCACAATGCCCGGCTTTTTTTTTTTTTTGGTTTAGCAGGCCCGGGCTGGTTCCTTTTTCCTCAAATGGATATTCTTCAGATTTGTTTTCTCTGATAATTCTTTAAAACTGCAAACAACTTCTGTTTTTCTAAGATAACTACTGTCAACTATTGGGTGTATATTTTTCCTGGATAGATATTTAAAAACATCAATAGAAGCATATTTTATATATTATTCTTTAACTTGCTTTTTATTTGCAATGTTATAAACTAAAAAAAGACATACCTTTCCAGAAAAATAAGTGCAGATAAACAGAAGAAGTTATAAAAAATGAAAATCATATCTATTTCAACTAATTGGGGATAAATGCCATTAACATTTTTGTGTATTGGCTCGGCGCCTGTGGCTCAAGCGGCTGAGGTGCCAGCCACATACACCTAAGGTGGCGGGTTCGAATCCCCAGCCCGGGCCCGCCAAACAACAATGATGGCTGCAACCAAAAAATGGCCAGGCGTTGTGGCGGGCGCCTGTGGTCCCAGCTACTTGGGAGGCGGAGGCAGGAGACTCGCTTGAGCCCAGGAGTTGGAGGTTGCTGTGAGCGTGATGCCACAGCACTCTACCCAGGGGGATAGCTTGAGGCTCCGTCTCAAAAAAAAAAAAAAAAAAAACATTTTTGTGTTTTTATTTTTGACTTAAAAATTTTTCACATACTCATGTAAATAACCAGTTTAGAAATGAGATCATATTGTAAAAGCTGTTCCCTATCACTTATCAATATGCTGGGATCATTCTTCTATGACAGTAAATATTAAAAAACTATTAATGACTGTATCAAAACCTTTTAACCAACTTTTTTCTACTGCAGATGTATTGTTTACTTATTTAAAAAAATTTATAAGTGATATTAGCATTATTTACAATTAAGCCCTTGGGTGAATTCATTATTATTTCCTTAGGATAAGTTTCTAGAAGTGGAATTATTGGTTCAAAGGCTCACACATTTTTTTATTTTTTATTTTTTGCAGTTTTTGGCCGGGGCCGGGTCTGAACCCACCACCTCCAGTACATGGGGCTGGCGCCCCACTTCTTTGAGCCACAGGAGCCACCTAAAGGCTCACACATTTTAAAAAGTTTGATAAATACTGCCAAATTGCCTGCCAGAAGAGTTTTGCCAGTGTACTCTTATTATAGTAAAGAAGGAAAATGACCCTTTCCCTTAATTTTGAACAATGTTGTTTATTATAATTTAAAAAATATTATTACTGTGGAATTCAATTATAGTACTTGTATTTCCAGGGATCCTTTACCATTAACCTTATACTTTCTGAAGGGTTTTTTGAAAGCTGCATGAAAGTCATTTTCAGTTTCTTTGTAGATGAAACATCATAACTCCCACCACTTGGAGGCATCTATGAAATTCCTTTTATTATGAAGCATTTAACTCTGTGAGGTCTTCTCATCCATATACATTATAATTCCTGTTCATAAGAATTCTAAGGTCTCTGCTTAATCATATCAAAAACTTATCCTTACATTTTACTTGTTACTGTGAAATCTTTTTTTTTATTTTGGGTTGTAGTTGTCATTATTGTTTGGCAGGCGCAGGCTGGATTCGAACCCGCCAGCTCTAGTGTATGTGGCTAGCACCCTAGCCATTTGAGCTATAGGCCAAAAAGCCTTTTTTTTGGTTAGAGACAGAGTCTCACTTTATTGCCCTTGGTAGAGTGCCATGGAGTCACACTGCTCACAGCAACCTCCAATTCCTGGGCTTAGGAGGATTCTCTTGTCTCAGCCTCCAGAGTAGCTGTGACTACAGGTACCCACCACAACACCCGGCTATTTTTTGTTGCAGTTTGGCCAGGGCTGGGTTTGAACCCGCCACTCTCAGTATATGGGGCCAGCGCCCTACCCAGTGAGCCACAGGCACCACCCTGTTACTGTGAAGTCTTATCCCCAAGATGTTTTACTATAACAAGGCTGACTTTTATTTTCCTACCTCTGATTTTAAATATTTCTTTTCTCTCTTTTAAAGGTTTTTCAGATGTGAACTGTTGGCACCTTCGTTTCCGCTGGTCTGGAGATGCTCCCTCTGAACTCCTGAGGAAGTTTAGAAACTATGAAATATGAAATGTCCCTGCTCCATAAAGAAAGGAGATCAAGACTGTCCCTTGTGCTGCCAATATACAGTCTTTGTTCTTACACGCTTATGTGTCATGTTTGTGAATTGCTGAGTATCTATTGATTCTTCTGTGCTTGAACCTGTTCCTGTTTTTTAAAATGAGAAAATATTCAGAAGACTAGTTTCTTTCAATATTTAACTATGTTTAGTCCATAGATCCAGAGTAGATTGTATTACATTTTTCCTTTTATAAAAAATCCATTTAAAAATTGATGTCTGTACAGTGTATTTAAATATTTCATCGATCTGTGATCTCTATTAATGCTGGATATAGACAAAAAATGTTTTCTGACTCTTGACTTAAAATGAAATGTGAAATTACTGTGTAAATCCCACAGAGTCAAATAAATAATTTTCTCAAAGTTCATAAATGAATTTATAATTCAATATTTAAAAAATAATTTGAATAGATGTTTCTACTTTAATAATTGTGAGTTTGAAAGGGTATGATTTGTTTGAGGAAAGATCTTTTTACAGGATTTCTTGTGTATAAGTAAGTGATAAATTTATAAATTATGTTCAGACTATGAAAATGGCATGTTAGGTAATACAACCTCTTTAGGTTGGAATTCTTTGGGGCGCAAGTGATACTCCTGCCTCAGCCTGCTGAGTATCTGGGACTATAGGTACACACTATTACTCCTAGCTAGGTTAGAATTTTTTTTTTTTTTTTTTGAGACAGTTTTACTCTGTTGCTCAGACTAGAATGCAGTGGGATCAGTCTAACTCACAGCAACCTCAAACTATTGGGTTCAAGTGATCCTCCTGCCTGAGCCTCCTGAGCAGCTAGACTGTGGGCACTCACCACAACACCCAGCTAGTTTTTCTATTTTTAGTAGAAACAGGCTTACTCTTGCCCAGGCTGGTCTCAAACTCCTGTGAGGTCAAGAAACACATCAGCCTTCTAGGGTGCTAGGATTGCAGGTATGAGCCAACCTGCCTGACCCATAGGTTCATAGGTTGGAATTATTATTATTTTTTTTTTGAGACAGTCGCCCTGGGTAGAGTGCTGTGGCATCATAGCTTACAGAAACTTCAAATTCCTAGGCTCAAGTGATCTTCTCACCTAGGCTGCCTGAGTAGCTGGGACTACAGGTGTCCACCCCAACACCTGGCTAAGTTTTTCCTATTTTTAGTAGACACTGGTCTCACTCTTGCTCAGGCTGGTCTGGAACTCCTGAGCTCAGGTAATCTACCCCCTCTTGGCCTCCCAGAGTGCTAAGATTACAGGCGTGAGCCTTCTTGCCCAGCCCGGTTGGAATTCCTGATGGTAACACGTAGTCTTTAGTTAATTTTTAGATTGAGAACAAGTAGATGAAGGCATAAAAAGAAAAGAAGATTTTAGAGTAGAGTTTCTTTAGTCAATGACAGTTTTCACAATGAGAAAGAATAACAATATAACAACTGCTATGGTCTGAATATTTATGTCCCCCAGCCCATTTATGTTGAAATCCTAAATCCCCAAGGTGGTGGTATCAGGAGCTGGGGCATTTCAAAGGTAATTGTGTCAAGAGGATAGAGCCCCCAGTGTGGGCTTAGTGCCTTTATAAAAGAGGGTTGGGAGAGAAACTCCTTGTGTTCTTTCTACCATGCAAGGACCTCGCAAGAGAGCATCATCTATGGGCCAGACTAGGGGCCCTCACCAGACACCGAATCTGTCTTGCTTTTGGACTTCCCAGCTTCCAGAACTATGAGAAATACACTTCTATTGTTTATAGGGTAACAAGTTTGTGGTCCTTTGTTACAGTAGCCTGATGGACTAAGCAACTTTTTAAAAAAGCTAAATATATTCAATATAAAGTGTTTTTATTATTCCAAAGTTATACTTTTCCTATTATTGTGGTTTAAAATATGTTTCCTTTATGAAATGGTACCATAATAGATGGTATTCTTTGCTAGGGCTGCTGTAACAAAATGCCACAGGCTAGATGGCTCATGTGACACCTCTCAGGGTCTTGGAGGCTGGAAGTGCAAGAGGAAGCCGTCAGCAGGTTTGTTATTTTTTTCTGAGGCCTCTTGGCTTGTAGTTGGCCCCCCCTTGCTGTGTCCTCACATGGTCTTTGCTCTGTGCACACACATCCTTCGTGTCTCTCTTTTTACTTCTATGGACACTAGTCATATTAGATTCTAGCTTAATCTCCTCTTTGAAGACATTATCTCTAAATAAGGTTACATTTTGGGGTTCTGGAAGTTGAGACTTCAACACATACATTGAAGGGGAACACAGTTCAGTCCGTAACATAGATGAGGACCTTAAATTAATACAACTCCATGTTGGTTTTCTTAATTTTATTCAAATTTTAACAGTTGCATCAATCCAAACGTCAGGGCCAGCCATTTGGAGAATTATTTCTATCAATATTTTACCACTTAAGTAAAAAAAAAATGGTTTGGCATTGTTACCATTTCTGTAAAGTTTACCTCAAAAATAGGAAATAAATGCAAAAAACATAGCATGTTCAGTTAGTTAAATGAGCTTTTGGATGACGGTTGTCTATCACAATACCTGCTTCTATTTAAATAGAAATACTGTATCGAATAAGTGAACTTTTGAATCTAAGAATCAGGGTTTTTTTTCCTTTCCCCCGCAAGACGGATTTCTAGGACTGACGACTTTTAATGACTTGTCAAAGGGAGAGTGATTCCACTCCCAAGTTCTATCGTATTTTTGTTTCAGACTCATTTCCCAATTGTTGACAAGATTGAGCACTAGCTCTTGTTTACTGTTCTCTCCCGTAAGGCCTGAGGCCTCCAAATTAGAAATAGCTTCACTTTCATGGGGGTTTATAAGGCTTACAATAAGCACTTTATATACTTGATCCCATTTAACTTAGTAGCAGACCTTTCATGCTTAAGCACTCCCCTGAACTCAAAGTTTAAAAAGGGAGGAAACTGTGCTTTGCTAATGCAATCTTTTGAATGGAAAGTAAGAGGAAAACCGGGCTTTTCTTCTGTAATTTGGTCCTATTTCCAAGCACATCTGGCACAACCACATTGGATGTTCATACATATGGGGTGTCCATAAAGTTCATGTGCACACTTTTCAAGTCACTTATTTTTGCATTGTGTTCAACTTCATGCCATAGCAAACTGATTAGGAAAAGATAATTTTACTGACAGATTGTCAAGCTTCTAAGTCAGCTCCAAAAGGTGAAGATAACTAGTTTCTTTTATATTTGATACTGAATGAATGAATGAGGCATATACATCTAGAGAACATCAGTATGTGATGAACATTGCACTAGTATTTGGGTAGGATATAAAAAGGCTATGTCATGTTTATGTTCTCAAGGAGTTGTTATTTTAGTGGAATAAGAAAGGTTTGTGAATTTTTTTTTTTTTTGTGTGTGTGTGTGTGTGTGTGGAGACAGAGCCTCAAGCTGTCGCCCTGGGTAGAGGGCTGTGGCATCAAAGTTCACAGCAACCTCTAACTCCTGGGCTCAGGTCATTCTCCTGCCTCAGCCTCCCAAGTAGCTGGGACTACAGGCGCCTGCCACAATGCCTGGCTATTTTTTGGTTGCAGCTGTCATCGTTTGGTGGCCCGGGCTGGATTCAAACCCTCTAGCACAGCTCATGTGGCTGGCGCCTTAGCCACTTGAGCCACAGGTGCCGAGTCAAGGTTTGTGAATATTTACAGTTTAAAGGGAGTATACTGAATTAGTTTATATAAATAACGTGCTTAGAACATGATGAGTAACCACTATGTGTATTAGTTACCAATCTTACTGTATTATTATTACATGTTAAGTTTTATGTTAATTAACAAAATTTTGACCTCCTTTAACTTCTTTTCTCCAGTTGGGTCTCAGAGCCACTATTTCTTACCTATACATACTATTTCCTTAGCTATCCCGTGCACTTACACACATGTATGTGCTTCTGCTCTTTACACAAATGGTAGCATGTTACATTTATTGCCACATACTTTCCATCTATTTAGTTAATATATCTGGGAGATGTTTTTCGTTTTAGTATGTGAGTGCTACTTTATTCTTTTCGCCTGCTGTATAGCATTCCATTGTTTGGATAAATAATAACTTATTTAACTTTGTCCTCTACTGATATTTTTTCAAGCTATTTACAATTTTTTTTTTTTTTTTTGAGACAGGATCTCACTTTGTCACCCTGGGTAAAGTACCATGGCGTCATAGCTCACACCAACTTCAAACTCTTGGGTTCAAGTGACCCTCTTGCCTTCGTCGCCTGGGTAGCTGGGATTACAGGTGCCTGACACAATGTCTGCCATGTTTTTTTCTACAGAGTTGGGGTCATACTTTTGTTCAGGCTTGTCTCTGAACTCCTAAGCTCAGGCTATCCACCCACCTCAGCCTTTCAGAGTGCTAGGATCATAGGCATGAGCCACCATTCCTGGCCTATATACATTTTGCAATCACAAATAATAATTAGTTTTGTAGAAGGTCTTACTTGTATGTGATACTTGTAGGGTAAATTCCTAGTACTGAAATTTTTGGAGAGCATGTATGGGCATGTAGAATTTGCTTATCATATTCTTAACCAAACAAAAGATGCAATTTGGCAGGTTTCAAAGATCTTTGGGCCATTGGATTGAAAAACCCAGGAAAAGGTGCTTGTTCATTGTGATTCTTGCCTTTAGTTTTTTTTAAGTCTAGGCTAGACTTTGTTGAGTGGCTCAGTTTCAAATACTGCTTATGGAACAGTTACCTAGAACCTTTCGTAACCCCTAATACTGGGAGTGCCCAAGATAAAAAGTAATAATAAAACCAGAGTACATATTTCTTCTTCAGAGAGAGGAGGAAAACAGGTTTGTTTGTTTTTTTCCCAGTGTTATGGTTACTTGCCTTCTGGGTGTCCTGAAAGACAATTCTGGAACATTTTTGCTCTTTTAAGTAAAGGGGAACTCAGCAGAGCAACTGAGGAAAACCTAGGCAGAATTCACAATTTCCTATGAACCCGAATAATTTTCAGTACCCAATGGACACATTCCTAGCCTGTCAAAAATATGCCCCTTGATGAGCAAATTAGAAATGCAACAAAGACTTTGTAGACGTTTCTTGGATTGATATATCAGAGAGCTGGATAAGGAGAAGATAAGGTTGTTTTCTTGCTTAGGAATTTTCATATCCTTTCCCTGCCCAGATCTGATGCTGGTTACAAGATCAATCACAGCAGCAAGTGCCAATGACTCACACAGTTATTGAGAGGGGTCTTTAATTTCCTGGAGGCAAACACCATTACCCGCCACCTCCACATCACAGACAGCAGATGCCGGGACTACCTGGGAGGCAGAAATGGAAGAAATTATAAAACTGATGCAATTACTGAGAAAGTGATGAAATGTCTCACAGGCA